GGTCCGTTCGGTCTACTCCTAGACCGGACGGTCCGGACCACTTATCCAGATTTCTTGACGTTTTCTCATGCATTTGTCCTTCCCTGCTTGTTTGACCCTGTAGGCTCATTCGATATAGCAGTATAACCCGAAATCTCAATTTCGGATATACAAGTCATAGGCGGTCTCTAGCAAGACACTATGACTACCTATCTCGAATAGAGTTTGTTCGTGATCTTTACGAACGCCAGAGATGATTCCGGTTGATGATCCTTTTGTATCACGATATCATATGTCGAATATAAGGCATGGACAAGCCACCTTATCTGATTCGACTGCTTTTCTCGTTCACTGAATTCGACTGTCTGAAATAGACGACGTTCGTCTATAGTGCGGCCACACATTTCTACAGTCTCGCTCACACGAGGGGCCCAGCGATATCTCTCTCTTTTACGAGAGGTACAAATCCCGTCTTCACTATCTACAATCTAGCACATGATTCGTTTCGTACCTGATACACGCCTTTATAGTCCTTCTGTTACGCAGGACGTTTGACGTAATCAAAGTACGCCTTTATAGTCCTTCTGTTACGCAGGACTTTCCTGAACAGATTGAGAGACGAGATAAGGTTTTACGTAAGCTGCGCCAGCAGAGGTAGCACTCAAAAGCTAACCTTTGACGAGCTGGAAAATCTTATCGAGCGAATGGCCAATGATAGAACCACTCCAACTCAGTTTTCTAGGAAAAGAGGGAATGCAGAGAACGTTAGTGAAGTCCAGACTCTCAAAGCCGAACTAATTGAACTGAAGATGCAAATCTTCTCGTCAAACCATAACGCCCTAGGCGAATCATCGGATCCGTTCAGTGGAGACCAGTCTATGTTCTCTGAATAACAAGGGGTTGAGGGTGTCAACTATGTTGCCAACAATCCTTATTCCAACACCTACAATCCTGCCTGGAGGAACCATCCTAACTTCTCTTACAAGAGCAACAACTACAAGAACGCTCCTCAAGAGAACCGAAACCGCACGTTTTAAAACTCGGGACCATTTCAAGGTCAAAATTTCTAACAGAGACCTCAACAACCGTTTCAAGGATACCAAGGGTATCAAGGAAACTAACAATTTAGAGGTCAGCAACAACAACAGCCACAACAAAAGTTGGATCAAACCCCCGATATTAAGTCGATGCTCGAGACGATCCTACAAGGGCATGCGTCTATGAGCAACATGATACAAGGGATGATCACTGAGCAAAGTGACCTTAAGAAGCAAATTCAAGGGATAGAGTCCCATGTCAAGCTTCTAGACAAACAGTAGCTCAACTCGCAGCTAAGCCTAGCAGAACGCAAGGCACTTTACCTACCTTAATCAAATCCTCGTGAGCAATGTAATGTTGTCTATATGGAAGACAACAAAATTTATGGAACAAGGAAGATCTATGCTGAGAGGAGAAAAGTCTATTTAGAACAATAAAAGAATTCAATCATAGAGGAATCGGAGGACGTATACGTCCCACCGTCTCCACAACCTCCTCCTATACCGTTTCCACAGCGATTACAGTGTAATCCATCAGTAGATGGGAAGCTCACAAGATTCGTTGATATGTAAGAAAATATGGAGATTGCTCAGCCTCTACAAGAAGCTATAGCGCAAACACCATCTTATAGAAAATTTCTTAAAGACTCACTCGTCAAAATGGAGAAAATAGAAGAGGAACCAGTAATCCTGACAGTTGAGTGCAGTGTTGTACTGAAACAGAACTTACCAGCCAAGATGGTGGATCCAAGAAGTTTCTCTATACCCTGTCAACTGGGCAGTGTCTCTATTCCTAGCGCACTGTTCGACTTAGGAGCGAGTCTGAGTCTTTTACCAAAGACCATGTATGACAAGCTGAACGTGGGTGAACTGAAATCCACTAAAATGATTATGCAGCTGGCAGACAAGTCAATGAAGGCCCTTTGTGGGACCTTAGAGGATGTACCACTTAAGGTTGGAATGTCTATGTTCTGGTCGACTTTGAGTAATCGATATGGACAACAGAAAGGATGAATCAGCCATCTTAGAACGTGCATTCCTCAACACTGTTGATGCCGTAATTCATGTCCGAAAGGGATGCATAAAGATGCATATTGGAGATGAGGACATCGAATTTAAGCTGAACCAAAGTCATAACGGGCTAAGGACGAAAGTGCACAGTTGTTGACTATTCCAGAAAAACTGCCTGGTATGCCGGAAAATGATAATATTTATATTTTAAATTTATGATTTAATTATTATAAATTTAGTAAATAATTTTTATCAAATGGTACTAAAAATTTAGTTAAAACTACTATAAAAAATTATTTTAAAATAATATTATGTTTGATAATTTATATCAAATTGTAACCGCAATGAACCATTTATTTCTAATCGTACTCACTTGTAATCGCTGTCAATAATAACTTATGAATTATTCAATATTAATCATTTATAATCGCTATCAAACGCTCTGAAAACGCTATTATACACAACTACAACCGCTCTAAAAATGTTATTATACACCACTACAACCGCTGCGGTATAATCATTCGAATCTAAAAAGATGGAAATTTTCTAGGTATATTCCTATCATTGAAATAATTTACCTATATATATATATATGTGAGGTTGAAATCGGATATTCTATAAATCACAATATACATAGCTCACATATTCTATTCAAGAGTCACGAAATAAATTTTGAATCTCATGAAATCATAACATGGAAATGAATGAATTTCCGTAAATAAATTTGTTTTTTTTTCCAAAGAAACAACGGATTCATAATATTTTCTACCAAAATAAAAAACATCTCCGCCGCTTTTCCTCCGTCACCATTGTCATCATCATCATCATCATCTCTCTCTCTCTCTCTCTCTCTCTCTCTCTCTCTCTCTCTCGTGTCATATAAGAGGAAGAGTCCATATTGTGTTTCTTCGGCTTTGCTTTTTATGGGAATGCGACACAATCAACCGTTTTCTTAGCGTCCAAACATCTTCCGGATTTCCCCTTTTCTTTAAAGATCCCCTTTTTTCCGCTAGATTCTGGTGATCTCCTCCGCCTCGTCTTCTCTTGCATGGCCGTCAATCTCCTGTGATCGACCCTTCTTCTTCGTCCGAGAATCTTCGAGGGCCTCAGGTGTTTCCTTGAAAGGCTTCAATGGTGGTTTCGGATTCTGGGACCGGCATCGATGTCGCCATGGCGACGGAGGGTGGAGTCCGAAGGTTTGGGGATCTCGACCGGCTCCGTCGTCGGAAGCCAGGATCGACGGCCAACGGAGTTGTCTCCGAGGGTTCGCTGGAGGATGATGGTGGTGGACCGGCGGATGACGTGAGGGATCGGATGGATTCCGTCAGCGCCGCGACGGAACCCGCGAATTCGGCCGGAGATTACGGCGGGAATGCTGAGATTAGGGCAACCGGCGAAGGCGGAGGCGAAGTTGACGTACGGTTCAGGTATCGGCCGTCGACTCCCGCTCATCGGAGTGTGAGGGAGAGTCCGCTCAGCTCCGACGCAATCTTCAAACAGGTAATCTTGGATTTTTCAAATTTGCTTGATACAGTAAAAATCATCGAGGAAGGTATCTCCATTTCTCAAATCCTGTGTAATGGGTCTATGATTTGCTCAGCAAGATTTCATCTTTCTAAACATCTTGTGGTGGGTTTGTCTTATGATGAATCGAAGAAACTGTTTCTAAATAGCTTGTGGCCTAAATTTTGTAGAAAAAACAAAGGTTTGACAAGATTAATCCAACAAATTTCTATTTTTGATGAAGCTGACAATGAGTTTTTTCCATGGCAGAGCCATGCCGGGCTATTCAACCTCTGTATAGTTGTGCTTATTGCTGTGAACAGCAGGCTAATCATCGAAAACTTGATGAAGGTTAGTTCTTTCCATTGATTCTCAAGATTTTAAGGAGCAAATGTTTGTTCCGAGTTAGTGAACTGGCCAGAGAGCTTGAGGAGTAACTAATTTTTCGGGGTCTTTTTGTATTATCGTACAGTACGGTTGGTTGATCAGGACAGGTTTCTGGTTTAGTTCAAGGTCACTGCGAGATTGGCCCCTTCTCATGTGTTGGTACTACTTTTTTCCTTAGTTGATCCGAGGTTGAGAGTTTATCCGTTACTTCGCATATACGTTGAGTTTAGTATAATAGTTGAAGCTATGGTTTTCTATTGCAGTCTTTCGCTTCCGATATTCCCACTGGCCGCCTTTGTACTTGAGAAGTTAGTGCAACGGAAGTGGATATCTGAACCCGTGAGTAAATTTCCCTAAGCTCCTTCATGGATTTGTACCCTAAGCCACTAGCTATGCATTTTGTTTAACTTCAAGAGTTTATGGTTTGTGTTACACTGAAGGTTGTCATCATTCTTCATATTATCATCACTACAACAGAGGTCTTATATCCAGTTCTTGTGACACTAAGGTGAGAATTAAGCCGAGCTAACGAGGGTGTGTGTTTCTGATCGGCTTTTGTTATGCTTTAGGTCAGTGTTGATTCAATTATCTTGGGAAAATGGACAGGTGTGATTCTGCCTTCTTCTCGGGTGTCCTTTTGATGCTCTTCACTTGCATCGTGTGGCTAAAGTTAGTTTCATATGCTCATACTAACTATGACATGAGAACCCTAGCCAAGTCGGGTGATAAGGTATTATATTACATCATACAATACAAATAAAAAAGAGTTAAGCATAAGTCATGGATATTACGATTTGTGTTACTATTTGATGCGATGTGGTTATAATTTGTAGGCCAATTCTGAAGTCTCGTACAATATTAACCTGAAGAGCTTAGCATATTTCATGGTTGCCCCCACATTGTGTTACCAGGTACCAAGATGAAACATTCCTTTTACTTGCAAAAGCTTTATTATTGCCTTCACGTTACAATCTTTTTTTTTTGTTTCAGCCAACCTATCCTCGTTCTCCATGTATTCGAAAGGGTTGGGTGGTTCGTCAATTTGTCAAATTGATCATATTCAATGGACTCATGGGATTTATAATAGAACAAGTGGGTTCAATCTCTAACGAAAACTCTTGATGTTTTTCCCAGTGGTGAATCAAGTCTGTGCTCTGACATCGTGCTCTTCTGCACCTTTTGGCAGTATATAAATCCTATTGTTCAGAACTCGAAGCATCCGTTAAAAGGGGATCTCTTATACGCCATAGAAAGAACTTATACGTATGGCTCTGCATGTTCTACTGCCTTTTCCACCTTTGGTAAGTCGCCTTCCCCCCCAGCCAAAGTAGCATAATATCACTTTCTCCCGAGCCAAAGTAGCATAATATCACTTTCTCCCGAGCCAAAGTAGCATAATATCACTGACCATCGACAATATATCCATAATGAAATCGAAAGGGATTTTTTCCACAATGGACAATCATTGTAGATGCACACTGCTTCTATCTTCTGAAGAGATGATCACACAAATATTATATTTCAATTTCGGAAAATGTAGGTTAAACATATTGGCAGAACTTCTTAGATTCGGAGATCGTGAATTCTACAAGGACTGGTGGAATGCGAAAAGTGTGGGTGAGGTGGGTTTCTTCCTCAACCTTATGGTCAATTCTTCCAGCAGTTCTGTTTCTCTTTGACTAACCAAACTCCATCTCTTCATTTCTCCTCAACAGTATTGGAAAATGTGGAATATGGTACGTATGACGATGATTCTCTCTGCTTTAAATTTCGATTCATGGGTCATTTTTGTTGCACATGTAATGTAAGAAAGAAACCAGAGACATAAAACGAATAGAGAGGAGAAATGTTAACCAATGAAGACCAACCGACCTCTATTTTGTCTACAGCCTGTTCATAGATGGATAGTTCGCCATATATACTTTCCATGCTTACGCCACGGGATACCTAAGGTGGCTGCCATTGTCATTGCTTTTCTAGTATCCGCCATTTTTCACGAGGTATGCCTTCTTCATAGTCTCCTATCTATACATTTACACGTATGAGATGTATGAACTGACATGCATATTCATATATGGCACGACAGCTCTGCATTGCAGTTCCCTGCCGTGTATTCAAGTTGTGGGCTTTCATCGGGATCATGTTTCAGGTAAATAATTCCTGGCAAACTTCTAATGATTTTTGTAGAATCTTCGAGAAAAAAGTTGAAAGAAGCTCATTTCTCTATACCTGAACGAGTGTGTTTCGGATTCCTCGAGCAGGTGCCATTGGTTTTCATCACAAACTACCTGCAAGAAAGATTCGGTTCGATGGTACGCCTCTTGGTCTCTTTCTCTCTCGTGTAAACTAAACTAAACTAAACGGCCATTTTTCGACGATTGACATGATGATTCTGAAGGAAAGAATGTTTTTTTTTCCCTTTTTTTGGGGGGAAATATGATCAGGTGGGAAACATGGTGTTCTGGTTCACCTTCTGCATATTTGGGCAACCAATGTGTGTCCTTCTCTATTACCACGACCTTATGAACCGCAAAGGAAAGTCCTCTTAGTGTGAAGTTTTCGTCGCTCTCAGGTCGTCATCATCCACCCTTGTTCTAACCATCTTTGTTCGATCGAACCACTGTTTGTATAGACAAAATTTTGCTCAAGTTCAAGTTCAAGTTGTTCATCATCTGTCTCTCGATCTGTGTTTTTGGAATAAGACAGAGCTCTGTTTTTGGTAGAGAGGATCTTGAGTTCAAAGGCAGTAAAATGAAACAGAGCATATGTCGCTTTAGTTAATATTCAATGAAGAGAAAACAAAAATCAAAATGGGACTGTTTCATGATTTTGCTCATCTACTGTCTTGTCCTATCTGTTAGAGATGAAATACATCAATCTCTTTAACATGTGCGACTGTATGTATGTATGTATGTATGTATGTATGTATGTATGTATGTATGTATGTATGCATGCATGCATAGAAATGGAAATTTTAATTCAGGAAACCTCGAAAGAGAAATTTTCCCTGTAGAGAAAGAATATGTTTCATAAAAACATAAATGCGTGTAGATTTTTTAATCACACTCTAAAGGAATGTGTGTGGAAAAAAATTAAAAACAAAAGAGTCTCCCTCTGATCCTTCTTCGTCCGGATAATATTTTTTTATTACTTAATAAAATATCATTTTAGATTTTTTAAGTAAATATTTTCGAAAATTTCCAGTTTTATTATTAATTAAAAATATTAAGATTACATAATTTAGAATCTCTTTATATATATATATATAAAAACAAATGATAAATCACGTGGGAATGGCTGCTCAGGGTCAGGACATTCAAAAAGTTCAAACTGTATCAGAATGCTCTTCAAATTGCAACTCTCATTACTATAAAACGCTCCACCGACTCTCTCTCTCAGCCCCTCTGATTTTTGTTTAGTTTTATATTCTTAATATTTATTTTCGTCACAGTAAATAATACCATATACTTATAAAATATAGTCTAACAAAACAAATTCCAGAGATTGTTCTTCGAGGAGTATATTATATTATATCGATTATAATTGGGAAAAAAGAGCAATATAAGAATATTATTTCATTAATCCCAAGATTACAGTAAAAAGGAAGATCCTTTCCTTCTAGTGGCCACCACCTCCGTTTCTTCTTGGCCCCTCCCTCTCTCTCTCTCTCATCACTGCTAGCCAAGAAAACGATGGAAGATTTCAGATCCAGATCCTACGGTGAGGGAAGAGCCTCTGACATCCAACAGCACAGATCGGACGGTCCAAATCGGTTCGCAGTCAACAATATGCAGAATCTCAGGTCCTACAGCACTTCCTACGCGGAGCACCCGACCCGGAACCAGACGGCGGACGACCCGGATCAGGATCCGAGGAAGGAGAGGTCGATGAACAGAACCGGGTCGGGTTGGGGATTGGGCGACCCGGATTTGCGGAGGAAGAAGAGGGTGGCGAGCTACAGAGCTTACACAGTCGAAGGAAAGCTCAAAGGGTCATTTCGTAAGAGCTTCAAGTGGATCAAAGACAGGTGCTCCAAACTGGCTCATGCTCTGTGATTTCATTTAAATTAAATTGTATAACCTATGATGAGATTATAATAAATGCTTGGTTCTAGAAAAATGTCGATTCAGTGACGAGAGTATACTGTTGTCGAATGTATTCGAGGGTTCCATCATGAATGGATATGGTGCGTTTGTGTTATAATATATAGTTTCACAAAATCTGATGTGAAATATGAACATGGCATATACCCTTTGTTTATTACATCAAACAACCGATAGATTTCAGAAAATCATGCTCGAGATAGAACAAGCAACCGAATAGATTTGATGAGGTATTGAAAGCAGATGAAAAGCGAAATCGTATGTTCGGTTATATGATTCAGAGACCTTTCAGCAAACACATTGCGAGCAACCCAGAAATTTATCTTCCGACACCGAATCCGATTACCTAAGTATTGGTTTGGCCAATGAAATTCCTGTGCTTGAAGTGTAAGCGGCGGCGATTGTCGGTTCGTCTGATTCGTCTTCGTCACCGTTTCAACAACCGACGAAGACGAAACAGACGAACCGACAATCGCCGCCGCCGAACCTAACCACGTCGGCTATCGCCTTCCCAAAGATTCTAAGGTATCTTCATATCGAGGAAGAATCTCGTAAACGAGATGCCGTGAATTTCCCTCAAAGTTCTAATGTGAACTATGTGGAATCTAAGACTACACAAAAAGGTAAAAGAAAGTCTTCGTTCCAATATAAGGAACAACAAGACAATAAGAAAATGAAGCGTTCGTGCTATCATTACCATAAGAAAGGGCATTACATCAAAGATTGTCGAATTCTCAAAAAGGAGAACCAACAAAAAGGTAACACCACTCCGAAGGCCAACGTGGTCGAGGAGAAGGACTTAGTGGCCATGGTGTCAAACGTCTTTGGATCCATGAAGATCGGTATGATAACCGAACTTAACATGGGCCGAACCTAACAACGTCGGCTATGGCTTGACGGCTTCCTCGACCGTCAGCAACCCATCTCCGCCGCCGTCTGAGAGTCTCTCTTCCACAGCTACTTCGGGCTCTTCTGACTGCGGAAGGCTAATTGTTCGTTCGACAACGCAGAATTGGGGAGGAAGGGGACAAGGACATATGTATAAACAAAAGAAATGGCGAGAAAAGAAAAATCACAGAGTGAGCAGAGGATTATTCACTCTCTGATACCATATGGAAAACAAAATCAGGAAAGAAAATTTACTGAAAAGTTTCTGAATTTTCTCACTTCCATTAATCCTTCCCTTTACACTGTTTATATACAACTAGAAAAGGAATCTAATGAAAAACAGATTTACAACAACCTAACAAATGCGAAACAGAAATACAGGTGTCAAAATTATGTGGCTTAAATTAAAACAGCTAAACCAGTGTTGGTTTGATAACCAAACCTAGAAATAACCGAGATAACCAAACCATTGGTATATGGAAAGAGAGATGTGTTGCCACGTCTCCTGTTACATCGACTTTCTGCCGTTTGTGGAAGCCCACCAAATTCCTTACTCGCCCCATTAATTCTACCTAAATTCAATATCACCGCAATACTTTTAAAAGTGTCAAACTAGCCCACAATTGCAACCGTTCACGTTTCCGGCCATGGAAAAATGCCAAAGTCGTACCAAATTTTAGTGGTATCCCGTCTCGGAAGTTTGGGCATATCAAATAGAACTGTCTCTACAAAAATAATTTAAACGTGTTTAACCAATGTGCGACAGAAGTCCGTCGCATTTGCGATAGAAAAATTCATTACTACCCGACGTGACACGAGTTGTCCGTCGCAAGACATAGCACTCCGTCGAGATTTGTAAATAATTTAACCATTTATTGCGGAGAAAACCTTTTTCCCATATTCCATCTTGATTTTACTATCTTTTACAGTTTGTTATGATATCTATAGATACCCATCTTCTATCATCTAAAATATAAATTAAATTAAAAAATCGCGTTTGTTTCATTGTTGAATCTAGATGTTGGAGATAGATTACTAATTAGTGAAATTAAGTTACTTTCAAAACCTTAATTGAATGAAACTTCTTTGTGAAAAAGTAACTACATGTTTGTGTAACATGTCATTCAATAAAGTAACTTGTTTTATTTAATTAAGTAACCTATTTGAATTAATGTAGTAACTTATAAAATCATGGCTATATAAACCCATGATTTGGTGACTTTGTATCATTAAGAGTTCTAATTCATCTATCCATTCCAAAGAAAGAAAACACAAAACCATTTCAAACGTTCTTGAGTGAGAGTGAGGGTTTCACCCGAGTTTTGCTTCTCGAGGAAGAAACACAAGTCTCGTTGTATCCCGAGGGTACTTTACCTTAACGCGAAGCAATTTTGTGTGGGGGTAAATATACTCTTTGGAAAGCGTCTAACCCGTGCCTCGAGACTTTCCACAACTTTGTGTTCATCCGTGTGTGTTAGTGTTCTTTCTTTTCTTTTATTCCGAAGCTATTTTCTCATTTTTCCCTAACAATCAAAGAGTATATTTATTTTCCTTTTTAATGGCTTCGGAAACTACGAGTGCATACAAAGTCATGAATCAAGACTTTGTGAAACTTGATCGTTTCGACGGGACTAACTTCAACTGTTGGAAAGACAAGTTGTTTTTCCTCCTCACCGTCCTCAAGGTGGCATATGTCTTGGATCCTAAAACTAAACCGGTGGAGGAACCCAAAGCGGATGCTACACCCGATGAAATTGCAAAGGTGGGTGAAGAGAAAAAGAAACGAGAGGATGACGAGTACACATGTCGGGGTCATATTCTCAACACTCTTTCCGTGATCTCTACATGTCAACCAAGTCTCCGGTGGAAATTTGGAAAGCCTTGAAAGAAAAATATAATACCGAGCAACAAGGTACCAATAAGTTTTTCATGTTAAAGTATTTTGAATTTAAATTCATTGATGCTCAACCACTAATGAATCAAGTTCATGAGTTACAAGTTCTCGTGTAAAAACTTCGTGATCTTAAGGTCGTGATTCCCGAATCGTTACAAGTAAGGGCAATTATTTCAAAATTACCCTCTACTTGGAAAGATTATCGAAAAAAGCTTTTGCATATGACAGAAGACTTCTCGGTGGCAAAGATTCTAAGGCATCTTCATATCGAGGAAGAATCTCATAAACGAGATGCCGTGAATTTCTCTCAAAGTTCTAATGTGAACTATGTAGAATCTAAGACTACACAAAAAGGTAAAAGAAAGTCTAGAACGAATCTAAGGAACAACAAGACAATAAGAAAATGAAGCGGTCGTGTTATCATTGCCATAAGAAAGGGCATTACATCAAAGATTGTCGGATTCTCAAAAAGGAGAACCAACAAAAAGGTAACACCACTCCGAAGGCCAACGTGGTCGAGGAGAAGGACTTAGTGGCCATGGTGTCAAACGTCTTTGGATCCATGAAGATCGGTATGATAACCGAACTTAACATGGCGACTACCGATGGATCATGTGAATGGTGGCTTGACTCTAGTGCTACCATTCATGTCTGTAATGACCATCATCAATTCAAAAGTTATGAAGAAGTGGCAAATCATGAAATGCTAATGGGTAATAACCAAGCGGTTAAAGTGCATGGTCAAGGATCAGTAGAGATCAACTTCACATCGGGAAAGAAATTAACATTTTTGAATGTACTTCATGTTCCCGATGTAAGAAAGAATTTAGTTTCGGTAAGTCTTTTATGTAAGAAAGGTTTCAAAGTTATCCTTGAATCCGACAAGTTAGTCTTGTTGAAAGGAGACTTGTATGTGGGAAAAGGTTATTGTACGATGGAATGTTCAAGTTGAGCATCGAAATGAATAAAGTGAATTCTTCCGCTTATATCGTTGATTCTTATTCTTTGTGGCATGTCCGTTTGGCTCACTTGAATGTAAAGTCTCTTCGATATATGCATAAGAATAATTATATAAATCTTAGTAATAATGAACGAAATGAAAAGTGTGAAATATGTGTTCAATCAAAAATTACTAAGAAACCATTCCCGAAAAATGAAAGATGCACTCAACTTCTCGAGTTGATACATTCGGATATTTGTGAACTAAATGGTGTTCTTACTAGAGGTGGTAAACGTTATTTTATCACTTTTATAGATGATTTCTCTAGATTTACTTATGTGTATCTTATGAGAAACAAAGATGAAGCGTTTGATATGTTTAAACGTTTCAAAGCAGAAGTAGAAAATATTCTTGAAAAGAAAATTAAGACTCTCTGTAGTGATAGAGGAGGAGAATATTTTTCTACTCAATTTGATGTTTTTTGTGAAGTTAATGGAATTGTGCATCAAAGAACCGCACCTATACCCCGCAACAAAATGGGTCAGCGGAAAGAAAAAATCGTACCTTAGTGGATATGGTCAATTCGATGTTGTTGAATGCAACACTCCCACATAATCTTTGGGATGAAATCTTATTGGTGGCTTGTTATATTCATAATCGGATTCTGTCACAACATTTCAAAATCGCTCCATATGAGTTATGGAAAGGTCGAAAGCCGAATTTAGAATATTTTAAAGTGTGGGGGTGCCTAGCTTATTATAAAGTTCCTGATAAAAAGAGAACTAAGTTAGGACCAAGAGCGATAAAAGGGGTATTCGTTGGATATGCCCAAAATTCAAAGGCATATCGTATTTTAGATTTAGTATCTAATACGGTAGTCGAAACACGAGAAATCGAGTTTTTTTAGAATAAGTTTCTCAATGATTCGGTTGATTCGGAAGAAGAGAAAAGTGAGTTTTTGGACTCTAATATTCAAGGAATAAAACGTTCTCGTGAAGAACAAATTATCGAACCAAGAAGAAGCGAGCGAGTGAGAAAAGAAAAGGATTTAGGTCTAGATTTTATCTCATCTCAGTCTTTACTTTTCCTCGTTGAAGGAACAAGAGATTTAATTACTAAAAAGATCCCCATAATATTGAATCTAGAAAGCGATCCACAATCCTACGATGAAGCAATGGCTTATAGGGATTCATCATTTTGGAAAGAGGTCATTAATGATGAAATGGTCTCGATATTATCTAATAATACGTGGGTCTTAGTGGATTTACCGCAAGGGTCGAAATCCATTGGTTGTAAATGGGTATTCAAACGAAAGTTTAGTCCTTACGGTTCACATACATTCAAAGCAAGACTTGTGGCAAAGGGGTTTAGACAAAAGGAAGGTCTAGACTATTTTGATACATATGTGCATGTCGCAAGGATGACTTTCATCCGAGTTCTAATGGCCCTAGCATCTGTACATAAGTTATATATACATCAAATGGATGTAAAGACGACCTTCTTAAATGGTGAACTTGATGAAGAGATCTATATGGATCAACCAAAAGGCTTTGTGCTACCTGGAAGTGAAAGAAAAATGTGCAGGTTAGTAAAATCGTTATACGGTTTAAAACAAACACCTAAACAATGACATGAAAAGTTTGACTCAGTGATCTTGTCAAATGGGTTTACACATAACAATGCAGACAAGTGTATTTACTCCAAGTTTACAGAGAAATATGAGATCATTGTTTGTCTCTATGTGGATGACATGTTAATATTTGGTACGAACTTACAAGGTGTTCGTTAAACCAAGGAGTATCTTACCTCAAAGTTCAAGATGAAAGATCTGAACGAGGTAGATACAATTTTAGGGATTAAGGTGTACAAACATGAGAATGGTTTTGCACTTAGTCAATCTCACTATATCGAGAAAATGTTGGTTAAGTTTCAACATTTGAACATTAAAGAGTGTAATACTCCTTATGATTCTAATATGAAACTAAGTGAGAATCAGGGAAGAGTATTAGCACAATTAGAGTATGCTAGTGCAATCGGAAGTCTAATGTATGTCATGCATTGTACTAGACCCGATATTGCATTTGTTGTATGCAAATTAGCAAGGTTTACGAGTAAACCTAGTACCGAACATTGAAAAGCTATCAGTAAAGTTTTCGGTTATCTAAAGAAAACCATACATTTAGGAATATTCTATAGTGATTATCCCGCGGTACTAGAAGGGTATTCAGATGCAAGTTGGATTACGAGTCTAAATGATAATAAATCTACTTCGGGTTGGATCTTCATGATTGGAGGTAGAGCCATTAGTTGGGCCTCTAAGAAACAAACTTGCATCACACACTCTACGATGGAGGCCGAGTTTATAGCTTTGGCGGCCACCGGCAAAGAAGCGGAATGACTAAGAGATCTCTTGTTAGATATAAAGTTGTGGCCACAACAAATAGTTGCCATTTCCGTTTATTGCGATAATGAGTCAACCGTGTCTCGTGCGTACAATAAGGTGTACAATGGAAAGTCTAGACATATAAGTTTGAGACATGAGTATTTAAGACAATTAATTAGGGATGGAGTGATGACCGTTACCTATGTTAAGTCAAGTGACAATCTAGCGGATCCTTTGACAAAAACGTTGTCTAAAGATATGGTTTGGAATACCACCGCTAAGATGGGTCTTAAACCTATTCCATTATCTCGTGTCATTGATAATGGTAACTCAACCTCAATCTAATAGAAGTTAGTCTCGAAGTTTAAAGGGTAATAACAAGTTATTGAATGACAAAGTGCACTAAGGTATATAGGATTTAGTGCTTAAATTTCAGGAGGATGAGTTGAATACTCTTAATGGACGGACTTGAGTGTCACGAAGTCCACCTATACTGGCATGAAGTGGTGCCGCTTCAAACGAGAGTTTTTCAAAAGGTTTATCTCGTACATGTTCGTGAAACGGGATGAGCACATGGCCATAACGGTGCTAACAAAAGTATACTCTTACTCAAGTGGTAAACGACTTTGTGCACAATTTCTCCGATTTTTACTTTAAGGTGTCAGTTTAAGCGTCAAGTCACTGATCATCTTGTTTGAGTCTTGAGAAGTTAGTACTAAGGGAAGGTTTAAATCTAAACGATACCTATCCTTTATGCATTGTCGTAAAGATATTATTAATTCTTTGGAATTAGCAATCTAGTGGGGGATTGTTGGAGATAGATTACTAATTAGTGAAATTAAGTTACTTTCAAAACCTTAATTGAATGAAACTTCTTTGTGAAAAAGTAACTATATGTTTGTGTAACATGTCATTCAATAAAGTAACTTGTTTTATTTAATTAAGTAACCTATTTGAATTAATGTAGTAACTTATAAAATCATGGCTATATAAACCCATGATTTGGTGACTTTGTATCATTAAGAGTTCTAATTCATCTATCCATTGCAAAGAAAGAAAACACAAAACCATTTCAAACGTTCTTGAGTGAGAGTGAGGGTTTCTCCCGAGTTTTGCTTCTCGAGGAAGAAACACAAGTATCCCGAAGGTACTTTACCTTAACCCGAAGCAACTTTTGTGTGGGGGGTAAATATACTCTTTGGAAAGCGTCTAATCCGTGCCTCGAAACTTTCCACAACTTCGTGTTTATCCGTGTGTGTTAGTGGCCTTTCTTTTCTTTTATTCCGAAGCTATTTTCTCATTTTTCCCTAACACTAGATTCATCTCGCCTATAGAGAATATCAATTATATATATATACATATTGTGTATCGGATCAGATACCAAAATTTTGGATTTTCACTTAATTCCTAATAGATTTATGAAAGAGTTCAACGATTTGGTTAGTCTCATTGTCTCAATGCCACCAAGTTGATGTCGTATGAAATATTTATAATTTTTTAATACAAATCTATTTTAAGTTTGACTAATGGACAATTGTAAAAATTATAAGTAATATATATACATACATATATAATGGTTGAAAAACATTAAATCTATTCGATAAATTTGAAGAAAAAATGGGAACAATCAAATATTTATACCTTTGCACGGTCTTATCCTTTGTATGATGTAGTAAATAAAGAAGAAAATATAAAATTACCAAAACAATGCTGACGATAAAGTAAAATAAAAGGCGACCAGGTCTTTTGGTATTGTCGCCCGCCTCGAAGCTCTCTTCTCTCTCCTGTCCCCAAAATCTAGGGTTTTAGGTGTTTTTTCTCTTCAATAATCGTCTTCGGCAGGATGAGCAACGACAAGGACAATTTGAACATGAGCGATCTCACCGCCGGTGAATTCGATCGTTCCTGTCCAGAACCCTAATCGCAAAATGTCGAATTTCTTCGGATTCTCACTTTAAAATTAATTTTCCTCTTTTTTTTTGTCTGTAGCTCTGAATGACGAGGACCGTGCTGGGCTTGTTAATGCCCTGAAGGTCAGTTTTACTTGACGGTTTAACTTGTTTTATTCTCGAGAATTGATGGTATGGGTGTAAAAGGGAATCGCCGTGCCTCTGTGTTTCGCATGTTCCATACTCAAGCGAGACAAACTGTACTTCGATTTTCTTATTTAGGAGTTGTTTTCTTATTTCAAATATCGTGGCAAGTATGTGAATTCTTGTTTCGGTTGCTACTGCTGTGGAAACTGATGTAATTTGAAGAATTCCGTGGGAGATGCATTTGGGTTTCCTGATATTGGATGGTGGTCTGGAACTCTTGTTTGATCGAGCATAATCTTTTGTGCTTTCATTAGTTTGGATTAGTGGTTGAAGGTTGTGATTTGAATGGCCTTGGTGTTTGTTTGCTGGTGTGTTTTATGCAGAACAAGTTGCAGAATTTGGCTGGACAGCACTCTGATGTTCTGGAGAGCTTGACTCCATTAGTCAGGAAGCGTGTTGAGGTTCTGAGAGAGATACAGGTATGTGAATTTCAGCAAATTTGTGTGTTTTATGTCTGAAATTTGGAGCGATGCACCATTTTTTTTTTCCGATAACGCCTCCAGCTTACACATTTCGTTTAGCTCTTGGGTTGTTAAATTACGCTGCCTTAATACTCGCTGTATTGGAATTCCCCACTCAATTTGAATTAGTCTGGCGGCGTGTTGTTGAGATATGTTTGATTTGTTAATATGTCTTGCAGAATCAATATGATGAAATGGAAGCAAAGTTTTTCGAGGAGAGGACAGCACTAGAGGCCAAATATCAAAAGCTTTATCAGCCTCTATATACCAAGGTTTGAAAACGAACTTTGAGCTGTGTAAAAAAAATCATCTATTTCCTATTGTTAGAATGTCTAGATACCCGTTATTTGTTCTCAAATGATGAGAATTATTGTCTATCTCCTTGTTAATGTGCTTTATACTGGTGTATTATAGAACTATCCAAGATTGCAATTGCAAATGGAAATGGTCTATCCTGGGTTCTAACTCTTTGAACACATGCAGCGGTATGAGATTGTGAATGGCGTGGTTGAAGTTGAAGGAGCCCCAGAAGAAGCGAAGGCAGAACAAGAAGAGGATAAAGCGGTTGAAGGTGTGTATTTTTAACTTCATCGATTCAAGCATTGAGGCCTGTTTACATTCGATTCTAGTGACATTACAAACATCCCATTCTAAATGATGTGTAATTGTTTCTCAGCAGATAAAGGAGTTCCAGATTTCTGGCTTATTGCGTTGAAGAACAATGATGTGACTGCCGAAGAGGTTTGTTAGTTAGGATATGCTGTTTTTGTTATACAGTTTTTATTTGAAAGAAGCTTATGACTGACATATGTCTCGTCATATGTCTACTTTTTCCAACTACATAGATAACTGAGCGTGATGAAGGAGCACTCAAGCATCTCAAAGATATCAAGTGGAGCAGGGTTGACGAACCAAAGGGCTTCAAGCTTGAGTTTTTCTTTGATCAAAACACGTACTTCAAGAACACTGTTTTGACAAAAACATATCACATGATTGATGAAGACGAGCCTATCCTTGAGAAGGCTATTGGGTAATTGCCGTTTCTGTGTGATGCTCTCTCCCTAGTATTTTTGTTTCGCTTCTGACACGACTATTCTTTGTTTTGGTTTTCAGCACGGATATTGAGTGGTATCCTGGAAAATGCTTGACTCAGAAGATTCTCAAGAAGAAGCCCAAGAAGGGATCAAAGAACGCAAAACCAATCACCAAGACTGAAGACTGTGAAAGCTTCTTCAACTTTTTCAACCCACCTCAAGTTCCCGATGACGAGGAAGATCTTGACGATGATATGGTCTGATTAATGTTACCTAACCTACAAAGGAAATTTTTTTTATCCAGTGCTTCATAATGTGATTATATGTTGGTTTTTCGTATTTTTTTAATGCTGTGCAGGCTGATGAACTTCAAAGCCAAATGGAACACGACTATGACATTGGGTCTGCTCACCTTTGCCAGTTTTTTATTGACTGTTCTTTTGTATTCATCTTAAGCTGTTGCAACCTTGCATCACTGGGTTTCAGAATCTGAATCTCTATGACATTTTCCTGCAGATCTACCATTAAAGACAAGATCATTTCGCATGCTGTGTCATGGTTTACGGGTGAAGCTGTCCAGGTGGATGAACTTGACATGGATGATGATGATGATGAAATTGATGAAAATGAAGATGAAGATGATGACGATGATGATGAGGAAGAGGAAGAGGATGAAGAAGAGGATGAGGCCGAGGAGGACGCAAAGAAAAGCAAGAAGAAGGTATATAATGGATAGTGATACATCTAATCTTGAATCCTTTTCTAACATCGAAAGCATGCTCTTGTATGGAAACGTTGCTTAAACTGATCCGATTTCTCTTGTTGTTTGCAGTCATCGGCTGGGCATAAGGTAGCTACAAATCAGACCAATTGCACATAACTCAACATTTTCTCAGTCACGCAGTCAGTGGCAGTTGTTGACAAAACTCCATTTCTCTTGTCTGTTTTTCTTTTGGTACAACAGAAGGTTGGAAGAGGTCAGGCCGCCGGAGGTCAGGAGGGCGAGAGGCCACCTGAATGCAAGCAGCAGTAGAAAGAGTTCTGTGTTCTGCCGAGAAAGCCGCTTCACTTATGCCCGAAAGGTTCGGCTTTGACGGTGTTGTTGTCAGAAAATGGACCCCAAAAAAATGGTGGGTTATTATGAAGAGTCTGGTTATCAGTTTTGGTTTGGTGATTTTGTTAATTTTCTTCTCTGTCTTCAATTTTTTTTCTCTCTTGGGTTCGTTCTTGTTTTCGTTATAGTGCAAGCAAAATGGTTCTTTTTAGGGTTAAAAAAAGAGTAATTGTTCTGTTTTCTTTTTGTAATGTCTACATGAATGGAACTTGTATGAGTTAAAAAAAAAAAAAAGAGTATTTGTTCTACTTGGTATAGTGAGAGCCCTCCGAATCGGTTTATCTTGGTCCTGTGTTGTGGATCTGCAGAACCGGTATGTGAAATTGGGACTGGTTTAATTCGGTTGGCTGGTTAACACTATCGGGTCCTGCTTTGATTTGGAAAAAAGTGTGTAAATATGAGTTTGTTATCTATTCTTGTTTGCACGATTAATATTGTGTAAAATATTGATGAGTTAAAGAATTTTATTGGTTATGATGCAATCTTGGTCATTTGGTGTTTATAATTTAGATGTGAGAAAAGTTGCATAAAGGTAAATTACATTCTGTTCTTATTGTGGATAAGAAAATTTTGTATGTACCTTTTTTATTTCATGCAAGGAAAAACCTCCTTTTCTACCCCAAAAATTTTAAGGATAATCTGTTAGTTTTTATTTTAAAAAAAAATTAATCTAAATACATAAATTTATCACCAACTAAAAAATTAATCTACAAAATTTAATGTTATTTAAATAGAAAAATTCCTAAAAAAATCATCCAATTTAGAAATAATTAATAGATTTATCATGAATTTTTTTAAAATATTCATATTTATATTGAATTTGAAATTTTTTTCTAAAAAATCATTTAGAATTTAAATTTTTAACAAAAATCTTCATCGACACCGAATTAATTTTGATACGTAGACAAAAAACGTTTACGTGGCATGTATTAAATGGAACATAGGATACACATCGCATTAATAGTAAAAACAATTATAAAAATTATAAAAATCTAAATAAAAAAATTTAATAAGCCTACTTTATATTTATATATATTTCATAAAATTGTAAAAAAATTGTAAAAAAATCTAAAAATTTATAAAAACCTAAATATAATTGGTGGGGTGATATATAAAAAAGGAATGACAATTTAAAAACCGATTTCATAAAAACATTGTAAAAAATCGGGATGGAGTATAGATTTTTAAATCGGCTTTTAAATAGGTTTTTTACAATTTTTAGAATTTTTTTACAATTTTTTTTTACAATTTTTTACTATTAATCTGACATGTATCCTATGTGTCTATTTAGTACATGCCACGTAAGTGCTTTCTGTTTGCATATCAAAATTAATTCGGTGCCGATGAGGATTTTGTTAAAAATTCAAATTTTTAATGATTTTTTAGAAAAAAAATTCAAATTCAGTATGAATATAACATTTTAAAAGTTGATGATAAATTTGCTAGTTATCTCTGAATTGGATGATTGTTTTTGGAAATTTTCCTTTAAAATATATTTTGTTTTCCAACTTTATCATCGTTTTATCATGAATTTATAAAGATTTTTAAAATTATATGGTATTCGATGTTAAATTTTGTTTGAAGCAGAGTTTTATTCAATGTCGTGTTTTGTTTGACGTGTAGTTTTATTTGGAGAGCATTTGTAGAATTCTGTATATGTTCTTAAAAGCATTTATAAAATGTATAATTTCAATTAAGAGAGTAAAACTTCATACACATTCAAAATTCACAAACTTTCTACTTGTCGTATTTATACACAACAAACATCAATCTGAGTTGTAATATCTCTTGTTTTTGAGTTCATAAAGACACGGATTGCACTTGATGATAAACCTTTCTTACATTTGCTTGCCTGTTCCCGTGTCCCGGCACAGGCAGTAGATCTGTGATTCCTACACGATACGTCTTTCGTTGCTGTCTTTCCTGTTCTGCCGCCTTCCCCGGTTCTTGCTTGAAACGTTGAAGAGTTAGTTCCGTTTTCTTCAAGAGAAGCATTCGTTCAACTCTATCTTCTGCCTGTTTCTGATTCCCGCTGCAAAGGTTCATCCTTGATTCACATGATTTCAGATTATTATAGATCACAGTTCTAAGTAGTAAGTATTCCCATTGCTCATATCATATCATAACTTGCATCCTTTTACTCACCTCGTCCTCGTCAGTGTCTTCAGAAGACAAATCAGAATCATCGAGTCTCAAGTACAAGTTTTCTTGCTCTTCATCGGATTTCCTGCCAGTTTCTGGCTCCAAATCCTGAGACAATGTTCCATGATGATGACGATGATTCTTAATCTTATCAAAAGATACAACAGTTCCAGTTTAAGTAGATTAAACCTGTACTGTTCAGAGCTGAGACACAAAACATACCTTGCTGTTCTTCAACAGCTCGATCCTCTCCTCAAGGTCTGCAATATGATGTTTCAGTGCCTGAGAAATGAACAGTGAGGCCAAAATGATTCAGCACAAACAAACTTTACAAACATTTCCATGGAAAGGGAAGTTTTTATCATTGGAAATGCCATTACTTCTCGTCTTTGAAGCTCTACGGATCTAGCCAAAGCCTGTCGTCTCGACAATAGGTTTGAAGGTCTTAGTTTATATGGCATCCGGTAGTTCTTCCCACGATATAGAATAATCGCATACCCTTTCGTGGTATTATCGACAGATACTAACACTCCGCCACTCTCAGCCTCCAAAGAGATAGCGATATGCTTAACCTGCGGTAGAGTTCTCCCTCTCACGATAATTTTCACTAACTCCCGATGTTTCCAGTGTAAATGCATGTTCTCTATTGTACCATCATACACTTCCCTTCTCCCTGTGGAAATATGTTGAGAGAAAATGGGTGAGCTTTGAACACATGCTCCATAAGGTGAAGATGCCAATTTTTTCTTCTTTTGGCTCAATGTGAACGTGTTTTATCGTGCTTACCAACAAGAAGATAAGGTTTCATACTCAGACCCATCTTTCGAAAAAGAAGTCTCTCCTCGTCGGTAATTATTTCTGAATCACTCGGGAGCTCTGATGGTTCAAGGTCCCTTTGCACTTTGGCCAAAGCCCTCTCAGCTTTTCTGAACTTCCGCTTTGCCTAGAACAGCAAAAGATCATGAAAATATTGAGAATTCTAATGCAAAACAGAGACTATTAAGGAGAAATTTAAGATATTCTGCATCATTCTCAAAAGGTATTTGGCTTGTTCCGATGCAGAACAAGTAAAGATGAGGGTAAACAATCAATGAGGGGGTAATAACTTACATAAAGTAGCCTAAGCTCAAGATCTCTAATGATTGAAGCCCTTTTAATGGCAGCTGATTCTCTCTTCAACTTGTCGATATCCACACTGCTTGGTTCAGGTGCCCACCGTGAAGTTGCAGCTATAGTCTCAGCCAATGTACCAGCAATCATCTTCGGAATTTTAGATGATTTAGCTTGAGATGATGTGACTCTTATTCCCGCCAATTCCCGAGCTCGGTCCTCTTCAGTTTGCAGAACCTCGGTTAACTCATTTTGCCTCTCGGTCAATGCCTCTGCAACTGCAGGGGGCAAGAAGTCATTGCCTCTGTAGACGACAATGAACTCCTTGTTTCTCGACAAGAGTATACCCCCAGTGAGCCTCTTCAAGAAAGAAGAAGAAGAAAAAAAGATGAGCACACACCGGGAAGGTTTGGAAGGTACAAGTATCTCGTGTTCTTAGGAAGACTAAGATCAGATCAGCTCATGGAAATGGACGATTTGACATGTGGAAATGGGCTATATAGCAAGTTCTAGAACAAACTTCTAAGCAAGTATAAGTTTTCTATCTTCATATTTGTATATTTTATCCAGTATTCATCAAGCAACTTGTGACTTAGAAACACAAGCCCTTACAGTTCTTTTCCTTTGTATATATATACTTTGTAAAAACTTCCCTTTTCCTCTAAGAGAAAGTGGGAATGGTTGAAAGTTCGACATCCAAGATTTGGGGAATCAGCTTTTTGTCAAACCTTAAGTTCTTCGGCCATTCTCTCATTCCGGGTATTTTCCACACCACGCTTGATGGCTATCTTTGCAATAGCACTACTTTCCCATAGCTTAGCTATAGCCTTAGCCAGACCCTGTAACTCCCTATTCCTACCTAAATAGGTCAAATAAAGAAACATACAGTTACTCAATACTGTACTAAATAGAAGAAAACGAGATTTGATAAATGTGGAAAGAGATGTTTATACATACCAAGAGCGAAATGTGGTGGCATTGTCCTAGCAAGCCTACGGAATTCTGTCATTTCCTTGTCAGATAAGCAAGGTTTTACTCCGCGAAGAAGAAGTCGAAACGGGGCCTTATACCCCGGAACTATGGGAGGGAGCAAGTCTGCATCAACAGGCAATGGATCACGTCCTGTCCAATCACGAAACCTTGGACCAAGCTCATCCAACAGATGGTTCAGTTCACAGAGCTCAGACAATTGTTCCTTGGGTATATCCTTTGGGTGATTTTCAGTTTCGGCTATATAGAGCTCGGTAGTTTGGACAGAATCACTCGCCTCTGCATTTCCCCGGCCCTCTAAATGCTGTGAAATTCTTCTATCCGGAAAATTTTGTTTAATAAATGACTGAACACACGGGAGTTTGTAATTCATTCCTCGGTACAACACAACTGAGCTTCCTGATCTCCATATTACCAAACCCCCGGTTTTCTTCTGCCATATGACAAAAAAGAAAAGAACTTTCAGACACATACTAAGCCACTCGATTCAAAGTACCAAGTACCCAGTGAACAGACAGAACATAAAACCTTTACAACTATCTACGAACTGTGAAAAGATCTACAAGTTCTAAGCTTAATAATCATCCAACAACTTACATGACCACCGATCAATGGGATCATATATCAAACAAGCATTCTAACAGATCACAGAAAATAACCTCAAAATCGATGCACACTGACCTCCAAAGTCTCGTGGGTTCTCTTCATATTGAGAGAAAGCGGCTCTCGGAATTTCAACTTCACAACTTCATCAACCTTCCATTTCTCATGAATCACTTCAACCAATGCCTGTGTAACTCCGGCTGACCCTACTTTGATTCTCTCAGGCATTCTCAAAGCAACATTTCTAAGCCTTTGCAACTGGTAGTCTGGTACCATTCTTTCAGCCAGTTTCGTGTTGTTCCTCCTCCATATTCCCTTCTCTTTGCCTGAAACTAACCCCTTTTTACCCAAACTATCTGAACCCGATGATCCTCGAGCTCTTGAAGATTCGAATCCATCGTCATCTGATTCACTTAATTCCTCAAGGATATCATCTACAGCCCTATCATCAGAATCGAAAACCTTTTTAAATCCATTTGCATTGGCCTCACTACCAGAACTAGAACTAGACTCGAACTTCCCTGGCTTAGACCCGTTAACCCATGGAGCAGACATGAAGCCACTCGGCCTTGGGAAACTCAACGGGTCACTCGCCAAATATCGGCGACTTGACTCGGTTTCCTTACGAGATAAACTAAACCCAGAAGACGATCCTTCTTCTTCTTCTTCATGATATCGTTGTGGCTGATGCTGAATTCGATCTTCCCGCTCCTGCCATGGGAGTTTCTCAGTTCTGGGGCTGATTCTGGAAGACCATTTGTCACGAATCTCCTCAAAAAATCCCGGTCTAGGTTTCCTCTTCTTCTTCGTCCTCCTGTGGGTGTCGATATCAATGGCGGCCTCGATGGCACCGAATTCTCGGTTGTCGAACCGAAAAGCGTGATTGAAACTGAAATATCTGAGTCTAGGAAACCAAAAACTGGACTTCACATGGGAATCGTGAGGTTGAAGACGATTTGGTTGAAGAGAAAAAGACGATAAAGAGAAGAGAGTGTGAGAATTCACTGGGAACTGACAAAGCGCCATGGATGAAATGGAACAAGCTAGAGGAGAAACCTTTATACCATCCAGTTATCACTTAAACTACGCCGTTTCGGTTGAGTTAGGATGGGTTTCCATGCATCCCGTTTTGTACTGTTGTATATAGCATGCGTGCCGTTTCAGTTTCTTTAAAGGTAGGCTTGATATATATTATAAATTGTTAACTTTAGTAGGATGAAAGGTTTATTTTGTAAATGGCAGGACTATTGATGATATTGCACGAAATATTGGGGGTGCAGATGCAAAATGCCTTTATTACCTGGGGTTTTTAGTTGTGAATTAATTGGGCCTGGGCCACAAACCGGGTCACCAGAATTTTCAAATTGGGTTGAACCGGAGGCCTTTTCACGTGTACGAGACTAAATGTGATCGTAGGCCAAAGCTGCAAATCGGAGAACGAAGTGTCTTCTTCCTAGTCTCCTCACTCCTCAAGATCAAGGTCAGGTCACAGATCGAAGCGGAGAACTGTGGCGAGATCTCTTCACCGAAATGGTAAGTTAAATCCGTCGAATTGTTTCTTTTTCTTGCAGACCCGACCGAATTTGAGATGAGATTTGTCCATTGTTGTTTCTGTTTTCGCGATTCACCATGGTCATTTTTTTTGTGTGGTTCTGTCGGTGAGAAGGCGGCGAAACCGATTGCGAGTCCGATTCCAGTGGCGATGTACCCTACTTTGGCAGTTTTCACGCTGGCCATTGGTCTCGTCATTACCGCTTCGTTCTTCATGTAAGCCTCCTAGATCTGATCACTAGTTCGTGCGATTTCTGTTCTCATTTCCCTTTGGCTTCTTTGCGAGTCCGATTTATGATGGACCCGTCTCCGGGCTTAGCGATTATTCACCGTGCGTAATTTAGTTTGTGTTTAATGGGATCGAAGAATTGGATTAGATTGATTTCTTGTTGGAATTCTAATTCGGAATTCATAAGCTGATCGATTTGAGGTTAACAGGTTGATCTTTGCGCTCTAGTAAATGTGATTATCATTGCCATTGAGCTTCTTTTGTGTTATGCCAAAATTGTATTTGTGTTCTGATGCCTTTGTTGGACTTTGAACTTTGAAAGTGGACTTCTTCTTTGTTATCTCTGCCGTGGGTTTTATGTATAGGATTAAATGGTTCTTAGATGCCTGAGGCTACTACTGTGGCTTTCTTATAAGGGTGCATAAATTTCGGCTGTAGTTGTGATTACTTTTCAGTTTTATAATGGCTGCCAAAAGAAGATGAATATAAGGATCTAGTCATGTACCCATTTAGTGTATTGAATGAATCTAAGGGGATAGTGATTTTATGGAACATGGAGGCTGATGAAGATTCACAGTGCTTTACTCTGTTGTTTCTGGCCACCATGCATTCTTAGTTGCCGGTTTCTCTATTCTGCATTTCAAAAGCTTTCAAAGCTACCCTTCTCGATCTCACCTTTCCTCTTTTTTAACTCTTTTGTTGGAATGATGTTTGCTTCTTACATACGAGATGGTTCAACTTTCAGATCAAAATAGTTATAGGGCTTAGCCTTGTTTCATTGAATGTATCTAGTAGCGTAGATTTGTGGTACTTAAGCGTATCTGGGTGGGATACATTTCTCTTCCATGAGTGTCAGCATTTCATTGTTTTATTGGATCTAAAGAAATGATGCAAGATTGATTTTATTAGAATGTAATAAATTTAGATCAAATTGTACCTGTTTGTGTCTGATGCTCAGACGGGTAGGATGCAGGCAGATTGGATCCAGAAGTTTGAACTTCTAAGGTTTCGACATTGTTCTAGTAATGGGTTCAAGTCGGCTTAAGCTTTTGGACATTGACGAACATTTGACGCGTATTTTCATTAGTTCTCCGAAGTTGCATTGTTACTAATACTATGCCTTTTGGAGGGCTGTTTGTTTCTAACTTATGTTCCATTATTCCACTCCTTTCTAAGAATATGAAACCGTGGTTCATCTTAAGAAAGGCGGGGGATATTCACTTGTGTTCTTCAAGATCCAACAAAGGTAACCCATCATCAGTTTGGTAAATGACCTATACACAAATGTTCTCTTGCAGCTATGAAGCTACATCGTCAAGAAAAACCCGAAGCCTTGCAAAGGAGTTGGCGACCGCCGCAGTAGCTTCTGTCTTCTTGGTATGACCTTCTTATGATCAATTCATACTCAAAAGTTTTCTTCTTTTTTTTTTTTAATACATTGATAATATGCTACAAATTAACACCTCGGGGATCAATACCGTTCATTTAATTTCTTTCTTTATTGCAGGGATTCGGATCGTTGTTTTTGCTGCTTGCTAGTGGCGTTTATGTCTGATCCATCCCTTTGATACTCCTTATCACCAATTTAGTCAGAAAGACAGGAGCTTTGTTTCTGTTGTTATATAAGATTATGATGGGTGTAAGCTTTGAGATTAGTCCTTAAACACAGTTTATGGTTGGTAATCCAATGATTAATCAAAACCCTTTTAGTCCTCTAATCGCTTTTGTGGCTTTTTGAGTGCATGTTTTTTTTTTTGTTGAATTTTTTGAGTGCATGTTTCTTATACATCTTGGTTCAACCATCAAACACTAACAATGGAAGTGATCAAGTGTTCATCGCTCTTAAGAACTTTCCCACGGGCATGGTTGCTTGGTCATTTTCCGTACTGTTCACACGTGGCACGACAGGGATGGATCCAACATCCATATGGTTCCTATAATTTTTTAAAAACAATTATTGTAAAAAAAAAAAGGCGAAAAATGAAAAATTAATTAACGCGAAAGGGCCAAAACAAAAAAGAAAAAGAAAAAGGGGAATAAAGATGCGGATACGCGTCTGCGTCTCAGTGACAAGAGTAGAGAAAGACGAAAATGGAGACCCACGAAGCGTCGGAGAGCGGCGGCGGAGGGACGCCGGTGATGTCGACGGGGCCGAAGAAGAGGGGCCGGAAGCCCAAGAACAAGGACGAGTCGCAGACGCCGTCGTCGCAGCAGCAGAGCAGCGCCGGGAGGATGAAGGAAGGAGGCGGGAAAAAGAGCCACCAACCATCTGCCGACGAGAAGTACTCTCAGTGGAAGGCTCTCGTCCCTGTCCTCTACGACTGGCTCCCCCACCCTAACCTCGTTTGGCCCTCTCTCTCTTGCAGGTTCGGGGGGTTTTGCCTGTTTTAGGGGTTTTTTTCAATTCTTCGATTTGACGTCGTTGGTAGCGATATATCGTTATGGTGATTGGATTTGGTCATGCGTTATGACTTTTCCTTTTGCTTTTCGTTTTGATTTGGGTTGGTAAGTGTTGGCATTTGGGCAGTCACCGGGATAAACACTGTTCATGTTTGAGGTGATTGAATTGCATTTTCCTTGGATTATGGAAACGGTGACAGTCATTTTCACTTGGATTTAGGGAAATTAGGTATTATTCTAGTTAGGGTTGACGAGTTCTTTTCTTTTACTTGAGGTATTGGACTCTCAGCTATGTTTCGATTTATTGTGATTCTCTGTTATGTTTCGTATATTTATAACTTATACATGATGTCTTATTGTTGGGTTATGCCAATATTTACAAATAATCCGCGAGTTAGCTAGTGATTTCGAGTCTGGTTTTGATATCAAGATGCTTTGGCTTTCAGATGTTTAGGTTTTGATGAATTTGGTTTTGGCCCTCTCTCTCTTGCAGGTTCGGGGGGTTTTGCCTGTTTTAGGGGTTTTTTTCAATTCTTCGATTTGACGTCGTTGGTAGCGATATATCGTTATGGTGATTGGATTTGGTCATGCGTTATGACTTTTCCTTTTGCTTTTCGTTTTGATTTGGGTTGGTAAGTGTTGGCATTTGGGCAGTCACCGGGATAAACACTGTTCATGTTTGAGGTGATTGAATTGCATTTTCCTTGGATTATGGAAACGGTGACAGTCATTTTCACTTGGATTTAGGGAAATTAGGTATTATTCTAGTTAGGGTTGACGAGTTCTTTTCTTTTACTTGAGGTATTGGACTCTCAGCTATGTTTCGATTTATTGTGATTCTCTGTTATGTTTCGTATATTTATAACTTATACATGATGTCTTATTGTTGGGTTATGCCAATATTTACAAATAATCCGCGAGTTAGCTAGTGATTTCGAGTCTGGTTTTGATATCAAGATGCTTTGGCTTTCAGATGTTTAGGTTTTGATGAATTTGGTGAAGATTTCTAGTATTTGTGTTCAAGGGTTTGGACTTTGTCTCGCTAAATTTTTATGTGATTTTATAACAGATGGGGTCCTCAGCTTGAGCAAGCAACTTACAAGAATCGCCAGCGTCTTTATCTCTCAGAGCAAGTGTGTTTTCTATTTTATAGATTTTCTTTTTTTCTTTTTTTTTCGCTCTATTTCTGGTTTAGAAATTAGTTTATTGTTCTTATGATCCAATCGGTTGTGTTACCAGACGGATGGCAGTGTGCCCAATACTCTGGTCATAGCAAACTGTGAGGTTGTTAAGCCGAGGGTTGCAGCAGCTGAACACATTTCTCAGGTAATTAGCTTCTCTACTACTATGTTCTTTGCTTTCTGTCCTTGTCATTGTTTTCCACTCGATGAGAATTACTTTTATGTCACAGTTGTTGAAATTTTATGTATTGTGTGTTGTTTCAGTTCAATGAAGAAGCCCGCTCTCCATTTGTGAAAAAGTACAAGACCATCATCCACCCTGGGGAGGTTTAAATTCCACCGTTCTTGAGATTTCAGTGTCCAATTTCCCATTTCTAGTTGGACTCTATGCATAAACTGAATCTGCTTTTTGTATTGGAATGAGTATATGCATTTGCTTTTAGTTGAGTACTTTGATGCACAGAAACTCTGTTGGGAACTTCGGATGTATGCATTCGTGAACAATTTACTACGCTTTCAGGTGAACAGAATCAGGGAACTCCCGCAAAACAGTAAGATTGTCGCCACTCACACAGATAGCCCCGATGTAAGCTTAGCTTGTTCATTCCTATTATAGTCATCTCAGCCTGAAATTTTTTGCTTCTCTTTATTTTTGGGCCCTCAGAGAGTGGAATCCTTTTCTTTATGGACATTGTCTCCCTTTCAGTTCAGTTATGTAAAGTGCGATATGCTCATATTATAGGTTCTCATTTGGGATGTTGAAACTCAACCAAACCGCCACGCTGTCCTTGGAGCTGCAAATTCTCGTCCGGATTTGGTAGGTCCCCTTAGTGATAGCTATCATAGTCGATGTTCTCAAATGTTAAAAAATGCTTCTTTTGCATCATCTGAACAAGGGCATGCATTCTTTTCTGTTTTAATCTCTTGCCATGAGAAGAGAAACATATTTAACATCTTGTTTAGCACTGCTGGTTGCTTCTTGCATCATCTGGGAAATGTTTTCTTCCAGATACTGACCGGACACCAAGATAATGCTGAATTTGCACTTGCAATGTGCCCAACTGAGCCATTTGTTCTCTCTGGAGGTATTTATTGGTGTAACCAGTGATTGTGTATCCTTTGGTTTGCAAGTTTCTTATATGATTCACGTGATAGGCAAGGACAAATCAGTTGTCTTGTGGAGCATCCAAGATCACATCACGACAGTGGCTACAGATTCTAAATCTGCAGGATCTATCATCAAACAAACTGGCCAAGGTAATGATAAAGCTGAGGGTCCTTCTGTTGGTCCTCGAGGAATTTATCAAGGGCATGAAGATACAGTTGAAGATGTAGCATTCTGCCCATCTAGGTAACTTTTTGAAACAACATCTTCCTTTGATTTCTGGGCTTTCCTGTTATCATTCAAATCGTGAAACACTTTACGTGTTTCTGCTTCTGTAAGTACGGTAATTAAAACTGGCAGCTCGGATTTTCTGAATCTTATGTGTACTTTTTTTTATGTGTTGAAGTGCGCAGGAATTCTGCAGTGTTGGTGACGATTCTTGCCTCATACTATGGGATGCACGAACTGGCACAAGCCCAGTCATGAAGGCACCTTTCTTCTTAACTATCAAACTGTGATCTTCATTTCTGGTTATAGCTTCATTTTTTTTTTCCTTTTTTTTGTGTGCTGACAGGTCGAGAAGGCTCATGATGCTGATCTTCATTGTGTTGATTGGAACCCTCATGATAACAATCTGATTCTGACAGGGTATGTATGGAGACAAGTCCTAAAAAACGATACACAAATTTAAACAAAGTTATGAATGTGCATACTCGTACACTTTGACACATAACTCGGTGGTTCCTTTGTCCGCTTATGCATGTATGCCACTTGCCCAGGTCAGCAGATAACACTGTTCGGTTGTTTGATCGCCGAAACCTTACTTCTAATGGAGTAGGGTCACCTATTTACAAATTTGAGGGCCATAAAGCTGCTGTTCTCTGTGTTCAGGTTTTAACAACTATTTTTTTTTTATCATATGCCCCTTTTGAATGTACTTATTGCCCTCTGACACCATTTTATACCAATGTAGTGGTCTCCTGGCAAGTCATCTGTATTCGGGAGTTCCGCAGAAGATGGCCTCTTGAACATTTGGGATTATGACAAGGTTTGTCTAAATATTTGTTCAGAGATGTTTGTACTTGATCTGTATACCCGACATTCTTATTTCCGATATATCAGTTACATTTGTGGGTAACAAATTATTGCAACAGGTGGGCAAGAAGTCAGAGAACGGAGCTAAAGGACCTGCTGGGCTGTTTTTCCAGCACGCTGGTCACAGGTTTTCAAGAACACCCTAGTTTCTGTAATCTTTTTTCCGGTTATATTTCCTTTGCTGGACTAAATTTTTCTTACTATATGATTTTTTGTTTCTTTCTAGGGACAAGGTCGTGGACTTTCACTGGAATGCATCGGACCCATGGACTATCGTCAGTGTTTCAGATGACTGTGAGACCACTGGTGGTGGTGGCACATTACAGGTTACATCTACTGCCAATCCAAAATCCATTTTCTTACTGTGTTAATTTGTAAGTACAACGAGCAATAATCCTGTTCGTAAAACCGATATTTTTACGGGGAATCTGTGCAGATATGGAGGATGAGCGATTTGATTTACAGACCGGAAGACGAAGTCTTGGCCGAGCTGGAGAAGTTCAAGTCACATGTGCTCTCATGTGCCTCCAAGCCTTGACATGAACGTCAGATGTCTGTTTCATTACAGGAAGGAATCAAGAGAGATTTGGTAGCTTTAGGGCTTTGTGGTTTGGTTATTGATCGTGTTTTTCCCGGATTAGCAGTAGGCTTTTGTGGTCTGGTTATGATGTTGAGTTGGTTTAACCAAACCGAACCGGTCAGTATTGAGCCTGATTTATGTTAACCGGTCAAATCCCAATTACATTGTTGCTCAAAGGATGGAACCCTGGATTGACGAAAGCCCGGTTTACGTTAACCGATCATAAATTACTTCCGCAGTTATTTGTACCATTTTCCTACAACAAATCGATCTACAACCAAGAATTGAATTGAAATGAATAGAGGGAGGGAGAGAGAAAAGCAAATGTTAAAACAGAGTTTCTTGATACAACAGAAAGAATCTACAAGACCAAGATTTTATTTGGCTGTCCGTGAAAAATGTAATAAGCTATGAGCCAACGGGCTTTCCGTTTAGCTTAGGGAAAGGATCCTGTTTGCTTAGAACCACAACTTTGCTCTTGTGAGCCAAATATCCCTTCACAAGATTCTTGTATATCAATATTGTCATTATACACTCCACCTGCAATTAAAAACACGCACATTTTTTTATAAAGGAATGTTAAAGAGTTAGAATTCAAAAAGGGGGAATGATGGATGCAGAGGAAAAGGACAAAAACCTCGTCGAGATCCATGTCCATCTCTAGCCATCTTAGTGCTTTGGCAATCACTTCAAGCTTCAGCTGGTGAGCTTTTGCTGGTTCCTTCTGTTTCTGAATGGCATATCTGCAAAAAAACAAAATGGTTTCAGAAAAAGCTCGGCCATGAAAGAATCTCGAACTTATAGTTCATGTCATGTACTGTTTATGCCTACATTTTCTTCATGAGCCTTTGGTAAACTTGGAGCTCCAGCTTTTCCAAGACAAGGTAGACCCCTGACCTCAAGAACCTGACCAGAAAACACGTTGAAAATAAGAAATTACGTCTCGTTTCAAGTGGCTCGGATTTAAACTGAGAGAGAGACAGAGAGAGAGAGAAACCGGTGTTCATGTTCTTGAAGAGCACGTCGAAGAAGCCTGAGATCACCTCTTCTTAGGGATTGCACAATCTTCACATACTGAATGTAGACAGATTGAATTTTAAGGAAAGGCAAACGGATTTAAATTTAAACCATTTAGGTAAGAGAGGGTAAAAGCTGTGTGTACCTCATGCAGGTTATAACTCTGCAAGAGCTCATCTTTGGGTAGGATTCCTAACGAGAGCTTCACAGGTATCAGATACTTCAATACCATCCTATAGTTCACAGAAACCACCACGTTAAACCCGTTATGCGAAAACGTGCAAAAGGGCTGATGATAACTGTATATAACACGCATCTAAAACGAATATTATATATACTTTTTTAAAAATATTACAAAAGATGGAACGATATCATGGGCACTGCATATGTTACAAATCTCTTCTCTTTTTTTTTTGTATCCGAGCAGAGAAAACAGATTCGTTATCATTTGAATAACAATGGGCAGAAAAAGATATTATATCGGTATGCGAGTAAACGATGGAGATAGTCCATAATAACCAAAAATAGCTGAAATTTTAGCATATATGTTTTGACCAAACTACATGAATAATATGGAATAAAGGTAAACCAATCAGACCTTATATTCCGCTCTCTATTGGGGTTGCAGTGTTGCAATGCATATGATAACTTGGTGTCAGCCTGCAATCTCGTGAAGTGAATATTTTGTCAACAGGACGGACCGTAATGTAATGTACCGAGCCAAAGTAACCCTAAACCTTATAAATGGAATATAATTGAAAAGAGAAAAGGGTCTTCGTTGACTCACAGCAGGAAAATTTTCATTGAAAACTTCTAATCTGCCGGTATAATACATGTATGTGACCTGCAATATTTTCGGACAAACAGAAACTAGATGTAAGAAAACTTGGAAGTCCGAAAACAAAGAGAGAGATTACATGTATGTCATGCCACAACTAGAAGTTGGATATGACCTTATCTCTTCTTGGAAACTCCTCAAAGTCAAATATCCGAGCAGTTTCAATACTTCTTATTACACTTCGACAAAGATTAACAGTACCAAGCTGAAAGACCAAAAAAAGATTGTGAATTCGAGTTCAGTAATACGGAATGAATTCATGTTTATCTCGTCAAGGGAATCGATATTGAACTTTCACCAGAAAGAAAGATTGTTACCTTGAAGTAGATCTTGAACAACTGGCAAGTCACATATAATGCTCCAACTCTTTTCGGACCTTTCCCCTACAATTACATGGCAATAATTCACAGCATGAAACCCAAACTTGATAAGCAAATAAACGAGTTAACTTATGTCCACAAACAAAAGTTGACAGTCATGATATATGTATACACAAGGTTATTTCTAACCAGGATCGTGTCTTTAGCTAAGTAAGATTCCCAAAGTTTGATTTCCTTTATTGATGCGAAAAGAAAAAATGAAGAAATTTCGAATAGAGCAACATACAGCGAGAACTCCAAAAACTTTCATGAGGAAAGACCCAGCTGCCTTCAACTTCTCAGGAGATTTTCCAATGGAAGTTAATTCCTTATCAGCCTGCATTTACACCAGAAACCATGAATTCATAACTGAAAACATAGTGAACCAAAAAATAGATAGGCAACGCATAATATCTGAGAGACAAAAGCACAAGTGAAAGACTATACCCTTTCAGCAAGAACTCTAATTTCATAGCAAACAACATACAAAGCTTCCAATGCCCAAGCAGATTCCCAATTCCGAAACTCCTGAACAAATGCACTGCACAGATAGAATTCAGCATCATCATCACCAATCCACAGCTCCAGAAAAGTTTAATTTTTTCGTAAACAAGCAAGAAACCGAAAACAAAATTAGAACAGTGATGGAGAGCAACAAGACTTACTTGGCAGATTTCTCGAAAGCGAGATATGCCTCAGCTAAGTTCCCGATCCTGTAACTTTGCAGAGAACGGAACATATGGACCAGAATCTCGCCGTATTGGGAGAATTTATCAGATTGCTGTATTACACTGTGAGCATCCTGGATCAAGATTGAACAGAGCAAAAGTCTCAAAATTTGATCATTCAAATAGATATATACAGACACCATTACTTATACATTCTTAGTTCAAGCCTCATCGAAATTTTCAGTCATTCAACTTCAAGTAGATGAATACACAGATATACACAGAGAGTAATTACTGGACAATGTTACGAGATCGCTAAAGGCATTTGGTGTCGAAATTTAACCCAAAAGCCACAAATTTTACAGCTTTCGTACACGGAGAGACAAAAATTGACCATGTTGTTGCATACCCAGAATCAGTATTGAACCGAGACATCCATAGTTCCAGCAGATACATACACCTATACGCATATAGACGCTATCTACGGGTTCCACCCTACTACCGACATCTGATCAGGGTCGCAATTAAACAAGCAAATTCGAAAACTTTCTACCTGAATCGGAGCATATATGCACCTACAAACTCACACGCTGAGAAGAAAGAGATAGCTAACCTGGAAAACATTGAGAGCGTCGGCGAGGGAGAGAAGAGAAGCAGAATTCGAAGAGAGAGAAAACAGACGGCCAAGGGTAGTGGGATCTTGGTACGAAACGGCGTCGCAGAAGCGATTCAAGTACTCCGTGATTCGCCGGTGAGCTTCTCCCATGCTAACGTACGCCATTGCCCCTTCTTCCGAAAGAACAAAGACCCAACTTTCGTGAGGAGAGAAAAAGGTAAACTTTATTTCGTTTCACAGAGAGAGAGAGAGAGAGAGAGAGATAGAGAGCGAGCGAGAGAGCGAGAGAGAGAGAGCGAGCGAGAGAGAGAGAATTGTGAGAGAGGAGAGAAAAATGTAAACTTTATTTCGTATTTATACAGGAAGAGAGAGAGATCCAATTTCAAGAAGAAGAAGATCGTTGATTTACTTTTTTCTCCCTATGAGAAATAAAACGACGACGTAGAGGGAACCCTAAGTTTGTTCAGTCTCTTAGCTGTCAGTCTTTCTTTCCATTTTTCTTTCATCCAACAAATATTTAAATTTAAACATCAAAAACACCAAATTATGACTAAAAGTTTCGAACGTCTCTTAGATTCAAATTTCATCCAAACAAATATTTAAATTTAAACCTCAAAAACTACAAATTATGACTAAAAGTTTCGAACTTTCTTAGATTCAAAGAATTGTGTATTTGGTCAGAGGACGATAACGATTGGGGAAAAAAACCAAAGGCGGTTCCATTCGAAGAAGACCAATAGCAACGAAGGCCAATCCACGTCTCGTCTTCATCCAGATTCCTCCGATTCTTCCGCTAATCATTCTGACAGATTCTCCAATGGCGTCGCGTTGCTCTATCAGCTGCTTCTGCCTTCGCTTTCCTCTTCTCTTCGCAGTTCCCCAGGTCTCGGAATCGTCTGATCTTGATGGATCCATTGCTCGTCCCATCAAGAAACTCGAGAAACCTGTGGTTCTGCTGATTTCCTCAGATGGGTTTTCGTTTCGGGCGCCATTTCAAGACCAAATTTCCACCGATTAATCGCCAACAGGGACTGAAGCGGAGATGGGTTTGATCCCAGTTTTATCCGACGTTAACATTCCCTAGCCATTACCCCATCGCCACATGACTTTACCCACCTTATCATAAGCAACCGATTCGTGGATCCGAACACAGGGAACACGTTCACGATGTCTGGTCACGAACCAGAGTGGTGGCTCGGTGAGCCAATGTGGGAGACAGTGGTTAATCATGGCTTTAACTCACTTTTGGCCTGGTTCTGATGTAAACAAAGGTTCGTGGAATTGTCCTAAAGATTTCTGTCTCAGCGTTACAAATTTACAACGGCTCTGTTCCAATCGATGGTAGGGTTGAATACTATCTTGAGTTACTTCGATCTGTCATAGTAGGGACGTCCTGTGTTTCATCACGTTATACTTTGAGGATCCTGATCATCACTGCCGTTGCTAATATCGATAGATTCATTGGTAATAGGTTGATTGATGGACTGGAAAAGAGAGGGATTTTTTTTAGGATGTGACCATGATTATGGTTGGTGACCATGGAATGGTGGGAACTTGGGATAAAAACCCGATCTTTCTCGATAATTTAGCTCCTTGGATCGAGATCCCAAGCAGCTGGGTTCAGTACTATACTCCGTTATTCGCAATCCAACGTCCCCCGGATCACATAGAGAGGGAAGTAATTGAAAGGTTTGTCTGAAGGAAGATCTTCCAAGCAAAGGCTGCATTATACAACAGACAGTTACCATATTCATCAAGCATGGATCCCGGTTCGGTGCTAGAGGAAGAAAAGTGCCATTCTTTTCTGAACAATAGTTCTTCTGGGTTTCCTTCTTGTGTCCTCTTGCCAATGGGGTAGAGAATTATAAGGTAGCTTTAGATTTTTTCGCCATTAGCTCGTGAGATGTTTCCTAGTTTAGGCATCGATCTGAAGGGAGAACCATGGTCTGTGAGATATGTAAATGTGCTTTGAATGATGTTACGATCGTATGATCGTTGTCCTGAGATTCTGGTTAACGATGATCTGATTGTTACAGTAGTTTATTACGCCGTTGGATCTTAGAATGTTGGCAGTATGTAATAATTGTGTAGTTAAGATGCGGGTTTGAATCAGAACTCACAGTGATCAGATGCTGATATTTCAGGGTTTGAGATTGGAATGGAGATCATATGGTCACTGCAATGGAAAACTTGCTGATACTAAGTTACATTTTGACTTGCAATGGAAAAAATAAGATCACCAAATCATGTTATACTCTACAAATGGGTAATTAGGGGTGAGCAAGGGCAGGTACATGAGATTTTCAGGTTATTTGATCATGACATCGGCCCTCTCGAATTTTTTCGCGTGGGGATATTCGGTACCGATTTACGAGGATTAGAGCCCGGGATTTTCGAATGCGAATGGGTCCTAAGTAGAACTTGGAATGTATTCTGATAAACAAGAGATGGATTTCAATGTTTCCCAAACCCAAAACCTAAACCGACCCCGAAACACTCGAATCTATAACCGACATTTTCTTCTCATTTCATGTTGAACTGCAATGAAGGAACGAAATCTCGGATATTGTGGGACGGAGATACCCGCAAGTCCATCGGGTTCGGATAAACAAGAAATACGGATTGATATTTTTTTTACCATTTCTATTCGGTTACATTCTTTAAACCCGAACCCCAATCCTAACCCGATAAAACCTAAACCGGTCCCGAAACGCTTCGCATCTAAAACCGACATTTTTCTTTCCTTTTCCATGTTGGAACTGCAAAAAATAAGGAACAATCACGTAAGTGAAGAAATGATCTTCTCCCTCATAACAGTGATGTAGTCACCTCTGCATAAGTCCTCATGCATCTGCATGCAGTTTTCAAAATATTCCGACAAGAATCAAAACCACAAGACAAAAATAATAATAATAATAATAATTTCTCTATCTTTATCGAATCATTTTCCTCTCGAATCGAAATGATCAACTATGATTTATATCGTTATAATGTTGTTAAAATAATAGATGTCCATTACAGTGATGTACCTACATGTAAATACATGGGATCACATGCCCAATTCAGCCAATTAAAAAACTTTATTTTCTATTTAAACTTTATAAAATTTTGAATAGAATTATGAAATGCCCTATAAAATTAAGTTTGCTTATAATAAAAATAAATTTGCTCCCCTAATATTGTTTTTTTTAGGTCTGCCACTGTCCAACACGACAACATGTTATTTTTATCGATGGTGATCTCCGGTTCAAACTTATTTTGTAGATTTCATTATCTTCTATGAAAAACTTTGTATTTTTACAGTTACAAAACCATATCATTTCGAGGTGGCCGATATCGTTAATAACCGACTAAACCGAATATAACTACAAGCGAAACGAATACGATATAAAGAAAGAATAGTTATGATTTCTTTGAAACGAAAATTATTTGAATTAGTATTTTTTTTATCAATCAAACCAAACTTGAGCTTAATCAAAGTGAATTGAATATAAAAACCGACTAGTTATAGTTTTTCTAAAATTCAAATAATCGAAACCCGATATTATGATTCTTACTTTTCTATCTAAATGGGTTATAAAATCAATGAGAGTTTTAAGAGAGGATCCGAGAAAAGAGAGAAAGAAAGGTCACACCTTTACATGTAAATGATGGCTGAGGATGCATTGATCTGAAGAAACAAGAGCTGCTGAAGAAGAGCTCAGAATGCCCATTCCTTGTGATTCTATTGCGTGCAACAAATCACCGAACCTGTCTTGATGATTTCTCTCGTCGTTTTTTACGCATATCTGAACGAGAATCTCTCCGTCTCGGCCCAGGTCATGGACCGACACCATTGGAACTGCTCGGTCTGAACCTTGTTCAGATGACTTGCCTTTGTCCGAAAGCTTCTTCTTCTTCCCGGTCTCGATGGCAGTTAAGATTTGTCGCTTTCTCAGAGTTAGATGCTCGACCTCGTTCTGCAGCTCCGGAATGCACGTTAGGGCTCTATCGATTATAACCGGAGCGCTCCATTTCTTCTGAAATATATATATATATATATATATATATATATATATATATGTAATCTTTTTTATTA